TTTCCTCCTCCCCATCTCCCCTTTTTAAACATGCAGCCCGACAAAGAGTTCCAAATGTTTTCACACTGTTTTGTGTCATCTTGTTTGGTCTTAATAAAAGGTATTACCTGGCTTTTGTTTTGGGTTTTGCCGTGGATCAAAATGGCCTTTTCTTAGGGGAGAGAATTCCAGTAATTGGGTACCACCAGAGAGAATGTCCTGCCCCATGTGTTAAATAACCTTATCTCCCTCACTGAGAGCCTACAAAGGAGGGTACCAGATGATGACTTTATTCCAGAGGCAGGCTATGATTAAAAGAGGTGCCGAGTGTTAGACATAAAAATCCTTTATCAAAAGTCCTGATTCATTAATTATCATCCTGTTTCCTTTTAAAGAAGAAAACTTGAAAGAAAGAAAGAAAGAATCATGGAAGTTCTATAGAAATGGGCAAAGTCAGTCATTACACTGGAATCCTAAACACTCTGTGCCAAGAAACACCTATCTGGTGTCTTACTCATAAACTTTGTTTCAAATTCATCCTTGGAGACATCAGATATGTACATAACTGAAGATGGATTTTGAATGGGATAAACTAATGCTGAAGAGCTAGAATCATTTTCCCCAGGGATGAGCCTTGCTTGCTTCTACCCATGTCTTTAAACATGAGTGTTGTTGAAGGCTGGGAGGTTTTTTCTCTCTCCAAATTTTTAGTTTTAAACAGTGAGATTTATTCATTCACACACACCCATTCACTCCCCCCCAAAAAAAACCCCAGGTATCATCTGACTTCCTTAGCTGGATCTCCAGACTTAGTATTGACCAAACTGATTAGTCACCTTATTCAGACAGCTCTCTGGGACAGGAAGCTTCTCTTGTTCCTGCCCTCTATATGTGGACTGCTGTAACTGCAGTGTCCACAAGCTGTACAGGACTGATACTGACTAATGATCCCACAATTTTGTAATATGACAGCTTTGTTGGGAGTCACAAAGGCATTTCCTAAGGAAGGCATAAAGCCAGTTTTCTCTGTGTTTAAAGTGTTTAAAGACACATGTCTGTGTATGCTCCAAATTCATTGTGCGAGGAAACAATGGTTTAACGTAGATATATTTCCCACAGTAATTGCACTGTATAGTGGATTGCCATATTGGCAGGGTTAGCAAGAGACCAGAAAGAAGTCCACCTGGCTAGGTTTGTAAAACCTCTGGATCAGTTTCCCAACATCTGACTTGGTAGCCAAAAAGGTTTAAGTAAAGCCAAACCTTTGTATTATTTATTTATTTAGGATATTTCCATGCTGCTGCTTCAGAGTCCTGCTCAGGTAGCTTACAATTATTTATTTATTTATTTTTCATATTTATGGCCCGTTCTTCTTGCAAGCGGCCTCAGGGCAGGTAACAACATAATAACGACACAATAAATGCAATTAAAATATTAAAACACAGTAGTAACATTAAAATTGGTGGTCACAGCCCGGGACAGAAATTGGCTGGTTGCCCATTTCTCCATGGAAAGAGAGGCATCCAGAATTTCAATATTAAAAACAAGCCTTTGGAGAGCACAAAAACCATCCATCAAACAAAGGCAGATCATTAAAAAGTTGATAAGATAAAACCGGTAATTCAATGCCCGTGTGAAAAGATGTGTTTTGGTCTGACACCTAAAAGAAAGTACATCAGGTGCCAAGGAAGTCTCAAGACAGAGGACATTTCAGAGACAAGGTGCTACCACAGAAAATGCTCTGTCTCTGGTCACCACTTGCCTCACCTCTAAGATGGGCATAGAGAGCAGGGTTTGAGAGGCAGATCTTAACTGACAGGAAGCATAGTATGGGGTGAGATAGTCCTTCAGATACCAGGTTGTTTAGGGCCTTAAAGGTAAGAACCAGTACTTTAAACTATGCCTGGAAAAGATGGATAACCAGTGCAGATCTTTCAGTATTGGGGTGATACAGTCCCTATAACCAACCCCTGACAGTAGCCTGTATGCTGCATTTTGGATCAGTTGCAGTTTCTCAATCATTTTCAAAGGCAGCCCCAAGAAGAGCACATTATAGTAATATAATCTGGATGTGATCAGAGCATGAATCACTATGACCTGATCACTCTTCTTGAGGAACAGTCATAGCTGATAAACCAGCTGTAGCTGATAAAAGGTACTATGCCACAGAGGAGACCTGAGCCTCCACCCAAAGGCCAGGATTCAGCGGCACTCACAAGCTATGAACCTGCTTCTTCACAGGAAGTGCAACCCTCTCCAGGACAGACTGACTCGACTAGTCCCTGAGCAGATTCTCTACTGACCAATGGTGCTTTGATCTTGTCTGGACTGGCCCTCATCCATTCCATTACATTCTCCAGGCATCTATTTGAGACTTCCGCAGACCCACCTGACTTAACTGTTAAAGAAAAATAGAACTGGGTGTCATCCACATATCGATGTCACCTCATGCCAAAATCCTGAATGACCTCTCCCAATGGTTTCATGTAGATGTTCAATAGCATGACGACAAGATGGAAGCCTGCAGGACCTCATAGCATAAATGCCACATGGCCATGCAGCAGTCCCCCAGTACCATCTTCTGGAATCAGTTGGTCAAATAAGAGTGGAAGCACCAAAGCACAGTGCTCCCTACTCCCAACCCAGCTAGCCTCTCCACCATGGTCAATGTTCTCAGAAGTCTCTGAGAGGTCCAGGGGAATCAACAGAGACACACTCCCCTGTCACTCTCCTGGTGAAAGTCATCAATCAAGGGGACCACAGTCATTTCCATCCCAAAGCCAGGCCTGAATCCAGATCGAAATGGGTCTAGATAATCGGTCTAGTCTAAGGCCACCAGAAGTTATGTAGCTACCACCCACTCAAGCACCTTTCCCAAGAACAGAATATTAGTGCTTGGGCTGAAGTTATTTTGATTGTTGGTGTCCAGGGATGTCTTCTTCAGGAGAGTTCTCACAGCTACTTCTTTCAAAGCAGTTGGAACTACACCCTCCCACAGAGAGGCACTTATTACCTCCTGGACCCAATCAACCAACCCAGCCCACCGTGACAGTATTAGCTATGAGGGGCAAGGGGCAAGATTGGGCTCTGTGTGCCACACATGTTGAAGAACCTTGTCCACTTCACCAACTGAATGTCATCCACCAACTAGGACCAGACAGTGCACCACTAACATCCCGAGATTGAATCAGTCCCACTGTGATGTCTGAGTTATGGCAAATGTGAGCAATTTTATTTGCAAAATGCATTGCAAAGGAATTACACAGACTTGTATGTTTTCTAGGTCAACATCCTCTGGGGCATGGAAAAGCTCTGCCAGACAACATTGTGCAGATGCAATGGTAGCAGAGAAGTGAGCTCACTTAACTGCCATCACCACCACAGAGTAGGTATGATAATATGCTCTCACCTGTGTTCAGTTGCATTTGCTTTGAGTTTTTTCTCTAGTTGTGCTCTAACTTTCTGCCCAGTTGTTTCATCATTCAGTGTAACTTATCTCCAGAGATCAAGTGCATACACTACATAGGCACCAGAATGTTCTGGGACAGTGTCATGGTTGTCATGGTAGTTAAGAAGTCCTGAACTGCTCCTGCTAGGGCAGTCTTGACATGAACATTGATGTCCCTGAGGACAACAAACTTCAGGGTACTCAGCTCCAAATCTGAGATTACCTCTGTCAATTCAGTCATGAAGACTGCTGGGCAGCAGGGTGAGCAGTACACCGACAGAATCCACCTTCTGTCCTGAGTCCTCAGCATCAGGTAAAAGGTAAAGGTAAAGGTTCCCTTGCTCGAAAGCCAGTCGAATCCGACTCTAGGGTTGCGGTGCTCATCTCCGTTTCAAAGCCGAAGAACCAGCGCTGTCCGAAGATGTTTCCGTGGTCATGTGGCCGGCATGACTAAACTAAACACGGCATGACTAAACTAAACGACTAAACACCAAGGCGCACGGAACGCTGTTACCTTCCCACCGAAGTGGTACCTATTTATCTACTTGCAATTTCTTGCTTTCGAACTGCTAGGTTGGCAGGAACTGAAATTAGAGATGGGAGCTCACTCCATCATCAGGTACAGATGCTCAAAATTGGGGTCCTGGTTAACAAATGATTCACTTAGTGTACATGTTTAAACTATCAGGTGGCTATCCTCAGCCCCCATAATCATTTAGCAGACTACTGCATATGGGGTGGCAAGGTCCGGGTGTATGGTTTCTCCACAGCTCCTCCGCACAAGCTCTGTTGAGCCAAAGGTGTTAAGATGGATGATGGCAGCAGCTGTCGGGTTTCTCACACCCACATTCCTGAGCATCTCCTGCCATGCCTTATGCTCCACCTCCTGTTCATACATAACACACCAGAATTTTGAAATAAAAAACTGGCAGCCCTAAATGTAACCTGTGCATTTATTGCCTGGTATAGGAAAAGTAGAACATTCCACAAATGCTTTGACAGGTAATCACAGAATCACATGTAGCTTGATCCTAGGGTGTTTGTTTTGTGTTACCCTACCATGTAGCCTTCCTTAGTAGAACTATATGGGTTTGTTGTACTGGAATGAATTATCCTGCGCACCTCTGGCATGGTATATGCTGGTCTTGTCTGCTAATCATGTAGATAATATGGGACAATTTGCTAGAAGTGCAGAGGGCTGGACTAGATGACCCTCAGATTTATTCTGCCTTCAATGATGTTCCTGTCATGTCACGATACTGAGGCTTCTTTCCCTGGTAGGGGAATATATTCAATGACGCCCTCACTGCCCCCTTGGATCTCTGTTCCTCTGTGATGGCATGCCTCTGTATAGTTAATCTCTCTGAGCTAGCGGGCTGATGCTTTGTTCTCAGCAGTTAAATTTGATTCCTGGAGGCAGATTTTTTTTTTCTTGCTGTGTCAGATAATTGATAGGGTGGAGTAAGGCAGGAAACCATGACACACCTTTGTCTGGACTTGTTTGGATGAAAAGTTTTGGGAAAGAGAACATGTGTGTTCAGGGAGGCGGAGATAAAACAGATTAAATAGAAGACAAACCCAGCGTTCTCTGGGGATCACATAGGAACAACATACTATCGAAGGGGTGCTGCACAAAGGGTTTTGGAACAAGAGCTAGAGTTTGAGGGGGAAGGCAAACGAAAAGAAGAAATACCAACGGAAGCTCTTCAGGTATGTAATGCAGAATAAGGGGAATGCAGGAAGAAAACTAGCACCCAGTATCAGATGTGCAAATAATTGATAGCCCCAGACAAATTACGGGTGCTGATTTTGGGTCCTGGAACAAAATCTCATTCAGCTAAAAACAGGGCTTGGTTTAGAAAAAATAATACTGGGCCAGTTTGATTTTGCAGAGCAGAATATAATGGGCATTGAGGGGAAAGTGGCATTTATCCCAATTCTCTGAAAAATACAACAAAGACAGATAAACATTTCCCCTCTGGATGCATGCAGTCGTATCTTCTGGTTATTTTCTTGGAGGTAATCTCCACTAAATTTAATTGGATTTAGGATGTGTGCATAAGAATGCAGCATTAGAAAGACCCCCAAATGACGATGGTTAGTGCCATGGATAGAAACTCCTGTGATAGAATCCTGGATTAAACAGTGCCAATTGCATTGCAGGTCAGAATGAATTGTGTAAGGGCTGGGGAAAGTGGACACTGGACCATCATTCCAAAAATGGAATTACAGTGGGTGGGCTCTGTGGACAGTCGATGCCGGTGATGGTATTCCTGCAAATGTTTGCAACTCCTTTCCAGCAAAGGAACTAAGTATGGCTTTTTAAGACAGAATAGGTGGCGGGGATAGATGTTTCAGTCATCAGGCAGTAATTTACCAGGAATCGCTCTCCCCACCCCCCCACCCCCCGTATACTGCTGAGAAGCTAACATTGGGCCATGATCATTCAAAAATTAGCTTAATGTACACACCACAAGGATGACTTGAAAGTCATTATTCATTCTCAGTGTAAGGTTATTTCATAAATCAAATGCCTACTGGCCTCTGCAACAAACTTTGGTCATGACCTTAGGTGTGTTCTCACTTATTCCCACCTGTGAAATGGTGAAAATAACAGTGAAATATTTTAATAAACACTGCTAGATAATATGCAAGAATACTTTTGAAAGAAGATTTCTCTGACTGTTCTAGAAGTAAAATTTTGAAATAATATCCCAGAATATATCAGGGCAAAGGATCGAAAAATTTTACACTGTGTTGAATTAGTCTATGAAAGATATTATGTGGTACAGATAAGTTATCTGAATTGGCTAGATGTTATGTGGTATAGAACATATTCTTTGCCCTACGGACATCTCTGGCATAACACATCTGGCATGCTCTTGCTCCTTACTTATGGCATGTTTTAGCATGAGCAACATGAGATAATGGGTTAGGAGAATTGGATGCTGAGGATTCTTCTTTCAGAATGGTGGTGGAAAGTGCTGTTAAGTTGCAGCCAACTTATGGTGACCCCGTAGGGTTTTCCAGTCAAAAGACAAACATGATTTGCCATTGCCTACATTTGCATAGCAACCCTAGACTTGCTTGGTGGTCTCCCGTCCATGCATTAAGCAGGGCCAACTCTGTTTAGCTCCCATGATCTGATGAGATCAGGCTAGCTTTAAGTACAGACGCATTCATATTCCTCCCAACTCTCTGGAGATTCTGTCAATATAGGGTGTGTGTGAATGTTAGAGTTCAGGAACTCAAATGCTATAGAAAACTGTACTCCATATCACTTGGGGGTTTATGCTGTACTCCAAAGGCTTGTCCAAGTGGTGGTTTTGGCAATCCTAGGTGAATGCAAAACATTGTAAGTGTCTCAGAGAAAGCCAGGTACATTTTCCTCATGGCAGCCCATGATGAACATCAGAAGCAGCTGCATGGACCATGTAGCTGTGCTGCTTCTGTGGCAGTCCACTGGAAGCAGAGTGAAATGGCAAAGCCTGGACATCGGGCCAGCAGCTGTTTCTAGCAAGTATAGTGTTGTAGCACAGATAGAATTTTGGGACAGGAAGGCACTTTTTTTTGTTATGGTCATCGCTCTTTCCACTGGAGAGCATCTCTCAGTGCCTAAGGTCTCTTGGGCATGTCTTATTGATCCTATTTAACCTTCCTTATAGAGACACTACAGACATTAGTCCAACTTGCTCTCTGTTCCATACTACACATTAGTTTGATTACAAAACATACTTCTCTACTGGAGAAGCTATCATCTATTTGGAGTTATTCTTTTAAATATGGTTAATAGTTTCTCAGTGCAGGGCTTGGGTCAAATAAGCCTTTAAGCAAGAGGTGCAGCAGCTAGCCTACTTGATGAAAGAAGATGGAGTTGTCTTTTTTTAAATGAGAGGGAAAAATGGAGAATGAACTATTTGCTCCTAACCAACAGAATAGTTGATTACCCTCTTGCCAACCTTGAATCTATCTACTGAATAAGAACAGTTATTTTAAAATTGATGATTTTTATCGACTCATAATGAACACTTTTTTAAAATGAAGAACTTCCTCAAGTTACTTGTTACCCAGTTTAAACACCTCACTATACTTATAACCCTTGTTTATTTATTTGTTTGCTTCAGTTATACCCCACTTATATCCTCCATTTTATCCTCACAACAACCCTGTGAGTTAGGTTAGGCTGAGAGTATGTGACTGGCCCAAGGTCACCCAGCAAACCTCCATGGCAGGGTGGGGATTGGAAGCTGGGTGTCTCAGATCTTAGTCCAACAATCTAACTGCTACACCACACTAGCTTGCTGCCCAGGATGCAAAGGTAAAGCTGCAGTAGATGAAATGAATGTTTTCTGAACTGTCCATTTATTCTTCTGAATTCCTTCTCACACTTTGACAGCATACACAGAGAACAGAAAAAAGCACCAGAGAAGCTTCTGTGTACTTAGTACAACATATGAAAGTCCAGTACCTTGACAGTGCACAGCTGGACTCTAATTTTTTAGCTGTGGATGTTGTTAATGCAACGTAGAAGTGGCAGAGAAACATTTGAAAATGTGGCTCATTCATGCTGTTCACAGAGGCAAGAAATTAAAGTCCCATTCTTAGCATTTCTTGAGCAAACACCTCAAGTCTTTCGATCCGGTCCTTGGGGATTTCAAGCTGCTCTTTGAGAATATTGCTTTTTTCTGCCAGTCAAAGAAGTAGCAAGAGGTCTTCACCCTTCAGCTGGAGGGAGCTAAGTTGTGTGTATAACCCTTCGCTACAAACTAGCAGGAAATTATCTCTGGTCCAAGGGATCAAAGCCAGCACAGTATAATAGCCTCACCCTTGAGCCTATTGTCTTCCATGGCTTATGTAGCATGTGCTGTGATGCCCAATCCTCATGAGAGAGGACGGTCTGCCTGTGCCTCCCTTTGCCCTGGTTGCTTTGTCACTAGAACTGGCTCTTGCTGAAAAGTGCTTGTGAACGATTCTAGTACTAAAACTGGCACCCATGACTATGTATTTGCATACAAAACACTTGAAACTTATTCTATATCACCTACTTATGAATTACTACTTTTATGCAAAGAAAATAACATTTCCCTTGATTCTCATAGACATAGGCTCCGTGATGGCTCATTGAGCTGAATATTCTATTTTTACTTATTCATTCATTGGGGGGGGAGAGACCATTGCTTTCTTAAAATAATAGTGTTGTATCCTATTCTAGCTAAAAATAGGGACACCTAGAATGAATAAAAGTCATTCCAGTTACAGATGAGACACCCACTGTTACCATCTGCATCAGAACTTTGCCACCCCAGGCACAATTTTTGACCTTGTTAAGGGGCAAAGAGGACCACGACATGTTTATGCATGCATTAACCTATACTACTTGCTGGATATGGAGAAAAAAAGCATTCAGACTAGGCCTGCTCACAGCATGTATGACTTGCAGCTAACCTCTTGCAAAGCTTACTTTGTTTAATTTAAAGAACAGTTTCTACAAAGACAGGTGTTGGATGTCAAGCTCGCCTGGGTGTTATGTCCTCTGACCTAAAATACTTGCTCATTGTCTAACCTAAAACTGTGGAAGCTGGCCATAGTTACTCGGTGGTAACAGAATGGCATTCTGCACACTGTTTTGTGGGTATGTTTATTTTGTTTGTTCCGGATCTAGAAATTGGCTCTGAAAACCCTGAACCCTGATCATCCCAAAATAAAACCCTGCTGTCGATAAAGCTTGGAAATCAGTAATTTTCACACATGATACTTTGATTTAAATTGGCTGTATGCAATTGAAAAGCCAACATTGACTGGATTGGCAGTTGATTTTGGTTTCTGGATTCTCTCCTACATTAACAGCATTCATGTGTAACTGAAGGGTTTAAATATGGCTCTTTGTGTCCCATGTCTTGTGACCCATGTCCCATGAAATGTCTTAAGAGTCCTCATGTAAAATTTTCTTAGCACTTTAGCCCTGTCAGAACCCCTATGTCAGCTGTGATAATTTTCAGTACCCCAGATGACTGAAACATAAACAACCTGTCAAAGAACTGCCTCTCTAATGGCAACAAATTCTTGCTTAGGTACCAGATATATGAAGGGATGTCTCACAGGGCTCAAAGGACTGGCTATGCAGCCATAGTAACTTGATTGTGAGGGTGATTTTAAAGTAAAGTTAGTGATGTTGGAAAGATGCAGAAGTTGGGTTTTGTGGGGGTAGTAACAGCAGGTCAAAATGTTCTAAAGGAAAACTGAGGAACTTAGGAAGTTTCTGTTTTGCTTAGGTTGGCCAATTGTTAATGATCCCAAAGCTTTGCAGAAATCTTCAGATCATAGACTCAGGTAATCCATAGTAAGTGCTTGTAGTCCAAGTAGACTGAGCACTTCACAGAATCCATTTTGAATTAGAGGAGCATGCCAAGTAATAATTTCGAAGAGAGTAACTCTGTGCGTGTGTAATATATTTACCTCACTAACCATAGGCAGACACATACTTGTAGTTATGGTGTAAGGTTTCTGGGCCACAGAACATTATTGTGAGGCAGATTCGATTCCTGTCCTCCATTAATCATGCAATCTTTAGCAGAGTTACACCCTTCTAAATCCATATCCATGTGCTTAAAAGGGTATAACTCTGCTTAGAATACCACTGTAATTTTTTAAAAAATTAGCACCTGAATTTAGCCCTTCAAAACATCTGGCAGTGTAGGGCTTGGTGGGGAGGAGAGAGATAGAATTTCCCAGCTCATCATAGCATGTATGGCCAGGTAACTGTCTGAAACCGTGAAAGTCCACATCAACCAAATAAAAAGGTTTATATAATAAGCTTAAGCAAGACAAGACAGAAGCTAAAATAGCAAGGCTAGGATGCCAATCCAGAGCCAAAATCTTCCCAAAGACTGGGTAGGGTTTGGCTCCAGGGTTTTATTGTTCTGCCCCTCTGGCTGCATCTTTCAAGCATCCTGTGTCAATGTCAGTGCTTGTTCTGCGTGAACTCCTATTATGACTCTACTTGTGAGTCATAGGTGAAGAAGCTGTGGGTTTTCCAAAGCTTCAGGCATCACTTATCCTGACGAAGAGAGCATAGCTGTGAGCTGGAAAGAGCCTTATGTGGTTTTAGACAAGCATCTTGGGTGGATTTACCCTGCATATCACTTCACAATCATCACCTAGGAAAATGTATGCATACCACCAGATATGAAACATAGTGAGAGGTCTGATTTTGCCACAATCACATGGATGAAGCAGCTGTTTGGGGCATCTTTTAGCCAATGTGACCTGAGGGGAAATTCCTCCTCAATTTTACATATGGCTGTCAATCAGTCCCTGAACATGAGCAAAACATACCTATAAAATCATTCCAGACCCAACTGTATTGGGCCACCAACTAATAACCTAACTTTACATGTTTCTCAAAGTTCCCAATGATGTGTACATCAAGACAATATGGGTGAGGGCATTTCACCCCCACCCCAATCCATGCTCCTGAACCTCAGAGAAGAAATCATGACACTGTTCCTCAGTTTATCCAACTGTATCTTGAGCCTAATGAGATTCTTCATTCCTATAACTGTTTAAGAGAGAATGTTCAAAACTGGTTTTTATGTCTCTATTTAATATTTAAAATCATGGGCACAATCCAACCTAAGTTAAACACTTTTAAGCCCTGCTTTCTTCATTCTTTGAACTGTTCTGTGAGAGCATTTTCAGGATTTTACATCTGACTTTGTTAAAAATCACGGGGACAGCCCAACCAAAGTTAAACAATTCTAAGCCCCGTGTTTGTTATTCAGAGATTTAAAGACAAAGATTAATCCCTCCCAACTGAAATCAGTGAAGTTTATAAGTTCAGGATCAAGCCTCGTCTGATTTTACTACTTTGGTTTGTTAACATCTAATTTGTAGCTAGTATTTCTTGCATTAACAGCTTTCTTTAACCAGTTTGCACTAGTGGTACTACAGGGAGTAAAATTAATTGCAGAGCAACACTAAGTCCAAAAGCAGGCACCAACAACTGCCATTGCTGTTACTGCCTGGATAGGTACACTTAACTGTCTATATTCTCTATTCCGTCTCAAAGGACTGAGCTTGTCCCCTTATCTTCTTTGTACCCATTTCTAGTAGGACCCATTGTTAATCACACTACTGTGAGCCTAGCTATTTATTATACCTGAGGTATATGAGGGCCGGATCTGACATAAATGTCACTTTGTCAGGCCGGGCCATGTGTGCCATAAAATGTAATGCCAGGTACCAGAGATAGAAACTGTATAAAGGACAGCAGCTGGTAAGCTCCGAGTTGGTGTCTCCTCACTGCAAGGCTCCCTGGGGTGGGAGGGGGGTGCAGAGGAAAACCCACATAGGTGGGTTGGAGAGGCAGCAGTGCAGCGCTGGGCAGATGCCCCCCACGATGCTTGACTGCATCTGTATTCTTGGTGCTTGGGCAGGGCAGCAGTGGGAGGGCTTCTAGTGTCCTGGCCCCACTGGTTGACCTCCTGATAGGGTTGCCAAATTGTTTTCGGCCGGGAGCGGGGGGCTCCCGGCTGGCGTCCGGGGTGTGCGCGGGTGCGTCACCCGGATGTGACATCACATCCGGGTGACGCGCACGCGGGGGTGGGTTTTCCCCCAGGCCCGATTTTTGTCGCGTCAAAAATCGGCCGTCAAAGCAGGGGATTCCCCGCCCCCCGGCCCCATTTGGCAACCCTACCTCCTGATGGCACCTGGTATTTATGGACACTGTGTGGGCCTTTGGCCTGATCCAGCATTGGCTTCTCTTATGTTCTTATGCTGCAGATGAGGTTGTTCTGCCATGCTGAAGCCACAATGGAGTGGTTCCCCCCACTTCCCCCAGCACTCCCTTCCTTGCGCCAGTTGTTCGCGGGCCGCATAAGAGCCCTGGATGGGCCAGTTCCAGCCCCCAGGCCTTATGTTTGACACCCCTGTCCTGGACCGCCACAAGGGCTTATTATCACACATGTGCTCCAGAGAGTTTGGGGCAGTTCCTGGGGAGCGTGGGGTTTGGGGAGGTGATGGACCTCAGCAGGGTCTAATGCTGCAGAGGCTTCCCTCTAAGCAGCCATTTTCTCCGGGGGAACTGATCTCTGTAGTCTGGAGATGAGCTGTAATTCTGTGAGTTTTCTAGGTCCCAGCTGGAGGTTGGAAACCGGAAATCCCAGGTGCGCAGGGCCTGATTCAAGTCCAGGGGTGCCAGTTCAGGGTTGGGAAATACCTGGAGATTTGGGGTGGAGTCTCAGGAGGGCGGGGGTTTGGGGAGTGACCTCAGCAGGGTTTAATGCCATAGAGCCCACCCTCCAAGCAGCCATTTTCTTCAGGAGAACTGATCTGGATTCTCTGGAGATCAATTGTAATAGCAGGAGATCTCTAGGTGCCACCTGGAGGTTGGCAACCCTAGTCACAACCACAGTGTGCAGCTAGAGGTCTGACGGGCTACACGTAGGGTTCCCCCAGTGGGGCAAATGCATCCCCCAAGGCTGTTTCAGGTTCAGCAAATGGAATGCCGGGGAGCCTTACGCATGCTATGGTCCTGCTCCAAATTTTGCACGTCGGAGCTGAGCAGATCTGAGCATCATGCCACGACTGTATAATATGAAGCTGGGCCTTGAATTACACCTTTGTACAGCATCGGCCTCCTCTGTGTAGTTTTTTCCCCCCTCTGACCCAAACCAGTCATTATTTACTGGGAAAACAATACACACTTCCTATTTTTACTGTCATTAGATCCAAACAAGAACATGGTTGGTTTTGTGATTAGCAGTGTTGTTGAGTTTTTGGCAGGGTTGCTAAAGACCAGGAATCAGTTACCCTGGAGGAAATGGCAGCTTTGGAGAAGGGACTCTGTCGCATTACATTCTGTTGATGTCCCTCCCCTCTCCAAATCCTACCCTGCCCCCCCCCCCAAAGGCTTTTTGGTGTATTCTTGCCTGTTACATGGCCAGACTTCTATTCTTGCCGCTTTTAAGAATTTTTCAGCAAAAGTGGATTGAGCCCTGTCATTTCTTTTTAATTGTTTTTATTTTTGTGTGGTGTTACTTAAATGTTCTTGATTTTCTTGTTTATTGTAAGCTTACCTACGTGCTTTTTAAGTAGAAGGGCAGGGTATAAATCTGATAAATAATCCTATAAATAAATGGGAAAATTTGCTTGGGTTTAATAGAAACAATTTATATGAACATCGGAACTGTTTTAGTTTTCTGTTATATAAATGTTTTGGAAGAGTAAATCAGAAGAAAAGGTGGTCTGGCTAAATATTTACCACTAGATGACACTGTTGCATCATGCTGTTTCTTAAACTTTGTGAAATTGTGACATCTAACCTTAGTTGGACCCCAGTTTAGAAACATCATTAGAAGGGCTGCCATCTTTTGATTTCAAAATTTTTGGCTCCTGGGCAGAGTATCTCTGAGCATTTTTAAGGACAAGGGAAGGACCTAAAGAAATGATGCCTCTGAAAATATACTGAGTGCTGAGTGAGAGGAACCAGTTTCTGTTCGGTTTTTTTAAAATTCTGATAAGTGTTTTTAATTGTTAATACAGTCTACAATCTTTATACAGTTCATGGGTTCTCATAAAATCCTATGAAGTGAGGATTCACTGAATGTGTACAATCTGTAGCTCCTTGTTTTTGGTTGACATTAGCCACTACTGTACAACACCAATCAGGAGGCCAGGAGTGTGCTAACCCTTGTCTTCATCTTCAGGTAGCAATGATATGGATGCTGTAAAGAAAAACAAACGGGATGGAACAGAAGTCACAGAGAGACGTAAGTGAAGTACTTTCTAGAAATGCCTGGGTCTTTAAACTAGTTCACTCAGACCACATAAAGGTAAAAGGTAGCACACAGTCACTTTCCCTCTTAATGCTCATGCACTTTAATAGTCTTCTATGACATTACAATATCCTAAAATGTGCTTGTTTCCCAGTGTTTTTCATCATGTAATAACATCTGATATTATCACATAGTGAACTTTTAATAAAACCAGTTTATTACCTAAATGTGATAAACTGGAGAGGGGAATTAACTTATGCTAAAGTCTCCACCTCAAAATCTGTTTCACAGTACCTGTTCAATAGGTCCAATGCAGGAGAATTATCTAGTGTACTATACTTCATGTGCTTATCATGATGGAACTTCATTTCATTCTCTTTACAGTTATCACAGAAACTGTTACCACCAGACTGACATCTCTTCCCCCAAGTAAGTGGCAGGTGATCAGAATTTAGCAAGTGTGCGTGTTTCAAGCATCCACCTTATTTTTGTCTATCTGTGCCTCCTTTTGACAAGCCCCTTGTGCATTTATGTCTCCCAGGGTCATAGATCCAAGGGGGAAATATCATATTATTGCTTTTAAATGCTCTTTTCAAATGCTACCCAATTATCAATAAAGATAATTGTGGATCAAAGTTTAGCTCCACTGAGTGTATGCTTCGCTTGGCTCACAGAACTTGACACAGTTCAAATTAATATATGGAATGAGTTGGTTTAAAAAACTGACCTCCTTATTCCATTTAGAATAATAATCTAGCAAGAAAATCTGAAGCTCAAGTAGTTGTACTGAAACAGAAAAAAACTATATAAATGTATTATCCAAAACAAAAAGAGAGAATATCCACAGAAACTATGGGACGATCTTATAATGGCAGTAAAGCAAAATAACTCTGCTCTATTTTGGAAATGAACTAGTTCTCGGGGACCCAAAATGCCCTCACCCCTAGACACCCATATACCAGAGGATGGCTGGACAACCTTTTTTCAAAATTTCTATGATGACCATAAACAGTCCCCCTTTTTGGGACTGATCAAGAAGGTCAGAACTGCACACCAGAGATGGCATCTGCGAGGCCTTAATTTTAATGACAACTGCACTGGGTGAAGGATATTATTGTATTTTATTGGTGTTTTAATTGCGGTAAGTTTTGTATGTTGTATTTTTATCAAATATGATGTAACCCGCCCTGAGCCTGCTATGTCGGGAGGGTGGGATATAAGTCAAATAAATAAATAAATAAATGCATTGCCAAATCCCACTGTTCGCCTACCCTTCCATTTTAGGTAGGCATCTTTTAAGGGTGGGGGGGAAGGTTTGGGAGGTGTCAGTTATCAAAGACTGTTAAATAAAATATGGAAATATTGTTACTGTTTTAAGCATGTTTGTATTTTAAGTTAAAAAACCCTTTAATTGTGTTCGTCGGTGTCCTTTATAAAATTAATATCTTCACTATGACACACTGATTATGGCAAAAACTTGAATGTTCCACCACAGATAAAAGATTGCTTTATCTTGTTTGCACCCTACATGAGGATGTCATACCTCAGAGTGAGATATAATTCGCAGGGCTCACTAATCCAATAAGGACATTTAAGGGATTGTAACAAATGAGTTTGACACCCCTGGACCCAAAACCTTGAACCTGATCCAAAACCTTGAACCTGACCTGGTACACAATCTGGAACCAGTGCAGCTGGCAGAGCACATGTTGAATGTGTGCAGTTAACGCTGTACCTGTGAGGACCTGGGCCACTGCATTCTGGACCAGTTGTAACTTCTGGATCAGCCTCAAGGGCAGCCCCACATACAAGAACCAAAGCTTGCTTCACGTCACCTACCAATACTGCTATATGCAGATGACACGGCCCTGCTATCTAGAACACCGCTAGAATTATGATGCGCACTAGATTGTTTCTATACAAGAAGTTACAGTAATCAAGCCTAGAGGTGGCCATTGCATGGATTACAGTGGTCCATCTTTGCTGGATTCACTGTCAGCTGACTCTGTTTTACCCACCTCACCACAACCTCCAAACCCTCAGCCAGGTTTCCTGGGGCACTGGCCAGCCAGCCAGCCATCAACAGATACAGCTGGGTGCCATCAATGTACTGATGGCAACCTTGCCCAAAACTTCACACCAGCTGGGCAAGAGGGCACATATAGATGTTAAATAACATCAGGAAGAGTATAGCTCCTTGAGGAACCCCACATTCCATGGGGTATTGAGAGGACACCCTCTCTCCCAATGCCACTCTCGATCCCCAACCATGGAGGAACAAGACAACCCACTTCAAGGCTGTCCCATGTACTCCAGCGTATCCCAGCATGGATGCAGCAAAATTTCCCAGGATGGAGGGAAATTCAGCTGAGATCAGCTGAGAATCAACTTCCAAAGTTAGTAATGGCAGGGCATCTATAAATCTGCTTGGCAGCTGCTCAAATTGTGTGGTGCCAAGGGCTTGGCTCAACTTGCATTGTGGCAGTCAAGAACAATATGTTTGGCTGCAAACACAATTGAGACCAAGTTCTTAGAATCCTTCTCTCTATATAATAACCCCAAACTTCAAATGTCAAAGCATTAGCATGGTGGCAGTAGAAGCACAGGTTTTGAGGTGGCGGCACGTGAGAACTGTACCAATAATTTCCACTGCTAGCTAGTAATAGTTGCTTTGGAGTGACAATGGCTATTTCCATTGTTGGGGGTGTTAATGTATACTAATGATGTAATTCTCTTACCAGAGCAATCGTTTGCACTGTTACTCAATGCTCTTTTTAATAGGTCTGTAATCACTCTCCATTCCCCAAGCTCCATCTGTTTGTCACTTGAATGGAAATAAATTAAAATCGCTGAAAACAAAAACAAATAGCAGAGAATCTTCTGGCCTTTTAAAAACTGACCAAGTAGCAATCGTATCCCTGACAAGAGTCAGTCATAACAATACTGTGGTATTGCCAGTTTAGTGTAGTGGTTAAGTGTGCGAACTCTAATCTGGGAGAACTGGGTTTGATTCCCCACTCCTCCACTTGCACCTGCTGATGTGACCTTGGGTCAGTCACAAGCTCTGGCACAGCTGTCCTTGAAAAAGAGCAGTTTGTGTCAGAGTTCTCTCAGCCCCACCCACCTCACAGGGTGTCTGTTGTGGGGAGGGGAAGGGAAAGGAGTTTGTAAGCTGCTCTGAGACTCCCTTGGGTAGTGAAGGGCGGGGTATAAATCCAATCTCTTCTCCTCTTCTTCTTCTTTTGAAACATCTTCCAAAAATTGCACATGGATGAGTCCTGGATAAGTTATAGGGCGACATTAAAGACCTTTGTGCTCTCCAGTGAAATGTTTCTTCAGCCTTTCCTTATGCAAAGTGTCTCATTGTGCTTTTATCTGACAGAAGGAGGTGGTAGCAGTGGGCTCAAAACAACAGCCTACAGTGGAGGAAGTGGAGTGGAAAAGAGGACATATACCCATGGCAGCAGTTACGTCACATCCAGTAAGTGGTCCTTAAGCTATTTTATTTATTTATTATTTGGATTTTTAGGCCACCCTTCCCTGTGAAGAGGGCTCAGGGCAGCTTACAACAGAGTGAGACAATATATAAGTTAAAAACAATTATAAAATACAGTACAGAATCAATCAATAAAACAGGCTATTCCAAGATGGTGAAGAATTTTGACAAAAAAATTGCAAGTTCCCATGGCCTACCGGGGGAGGGCAGGTGAGGGGGGAGCTGGAGACCTGGCTAGGTCAGAGGGGACAGGAAGGGAGCCAGTTGCTGAACCTGGCACAGTTGGAGAAAGGCCAGCATGGCAACCTTGGTAACCTTGGCCTCCATTGACAAGGTGGCATCCAGAGTCACACCTAGGCTCTTGACGGTCAGTGCCGGTGAAAGGGGCACTCCATCAAGAGACAGGAGTTGGCAGCCCAATCATGGCCCACAGGGCTTTTTTGTAGAAAAAGCCCAGCAGGAACTCATTAGCATAATAGGACATACCCAACAGCAGGGACTCATTAGCATATTAGGTCACACCCCTGACAGCACAGCATATTAACATATTAGGCTACACCCCCATGTTACCAGAAGTGTGGCCATCCAGCCACACCCACCTTTTGCTTCTTATTCTGTTTACCTTGTTTGTTGTCAAAACCCAGGGCTTTTTTGTAACAGGAAACCCTTTGCATGTTAGGCCACACACCCCTAATGTAGCCAATCCTAATGAGTTTCTGCTGTTGGATGTGGCCTATTATGCTAATGAGTTCCTGTTGGGCATGGCCAACTTGGGAGCCAGCTGGAACTCTGTTCCTGTGCATTCCTGCTCAAAAATAGCCCTGAATCCCCATCCAGCCACAGAACCTCTGTCTTACCTGGATTCAGATTCAGCCAACCGTGCTTTAACCATCTCACCACAGACTCCAAACCCTCAGCTAAATTTACAGGAACAGCATCCGCCCAGCCACCCATCAACAGAAATAACTGGGTGCCATCAGCGTACTGATAGCATCCCAATCCGAAACGCCACGCCAGCTGGGCAAGGGGGCACATAGATGTTAAACAACTTCAGAGAGAGGGGTGCCCCCTGAGGAACCCTGCATACCACTGTCATTTCCCCACCCAGCACCACCCTCTGTCCCCAACCATGGAGGAATGAGGTGAGCCATTGCAAGGCTATCCCACGAACTACAATGTCAGTGAGGTGCTGAATCAGTACATTATAGTTAACCATGTTGAACGCCGCTGTAAGATCAGCAGCCCCTTCGCACCACAGTCCAGCTGCCTGCAGAGATCATCTGTGAGGGTGACCAACACCGTCTCCATCCTGTGGCTGGGGCAGAAGCCAGATTGGAATGGATCCAACACTGATGTGTCATACAGGAATTGCTGGAGCCATTCTGCTGCCGCTCTCTCAATTGCCTTACCCAGAAATGAAAGATTCAAAACTGGGTGGTAATTGGCCAGATCTGTAGGATCTAAAGTTGGTCTTTTTAAGAGCAGGACTACTGCCGCCTCCTTCAGCAAGTGAGAACATGAGTGAAAACATAAATGGGAATGAGTAGAAAGAAGAATGAATCATAGAGAGTTTTATAAGTGGAAAATGAGCAGAAGACATAAAGTCTCTTACCATAATATTTACAAGAAAATACAGATCGCAAATAGTAATGAAACCCCATTGCCAAAGTTTAAGGCTGATTTCTTAAGGTGGGAGTTAATACTATCCATAATTATAGGAAAAATCACTACAAGACTGTATGATAATGTGTCCATGGTTAATCAGTTCTCAGTGTTGTATCTTGATTTCAGCACAAAAATAGCACAGAGGAATCAAATGTATATATACTCGTCCTTATATGGTTTGTGCTGGAACAGCAAAGCAAACATAATGTTCCAGCAAATATAAAAGGCATGTATTCAGTCTGGATTTGTCTATCCACCAGTCCTCCAGACAGCTCGAAAACATATGATAAATTAAAGGGCTTGAAGTCCTTATGTTGAATCTTCATCTGAATCCCTGTGCCACTATAAGACCAATGTTTGGAGACTGAGCTGTTAACTAAGAAGACTTCTGCTAAACTTTTGCCTTGACCTTGAACTCACTAAAAGCATGTAGGCAAACAATTATCTCTCAGTCATTCCTTCACTGCATTATGAAGCTAGTAATATTGACTACCTTATAGGGCTATTGTAAGAATGACTGGCAGTTAAAAGATGAGAGAGAGATCCATGAATGCATATCTCAAGCACTTTTCATTGGCAAATTAGTGGCCTTGGGAAGCTGTGGGATTCATATGAGAGGAGATGTTTTCAACCCTTCTTTTATTATTTTCCCAACTTCAAATGCCTCATTCACAAGAGCAATTTGCAACATTCAGAGTTTCAAGGTTTCCTATATTGGGGAAAATAGTGGCTCTGGAGAGCTGTTTGATATTGGGTCATGGCACAAAGAGAAAAAATTAATCTACAGTATGGCTTTGATCCAAAATGGAGGACTCTACACGTGCTATTTCTCAACAAAACCTGTTCAGGATATCTGATCTCCCAGCAGTGTAGTTGGGCCCTGACAGAAATGCTCTGAATGCTGGGAAATGCTATGTAAGAAGTAAATATTTGTTATTGATCCATGTGCCACACACTCTCCTCTTCCTGAACTCATGCAGGCCTGCAGAGCTAGATGTAGAGAAGTTGTCTTTCCCTGGACCATTAGTCATACCCCACATTAAACACGTCACATTAATATGTGTGGCCATTTTGTGCCATATGTGGTGGTTTCTGGTACAGTAATCTAAACTGTGCTGCAATTAGCAACATGGATACTGCTTCCGTTGCATTTGCTGAAGGAACGGCCCTCATATTCTGAGGTGTGGCAAAGTTACAAGCAGCCAATCAACAGAAGGCAGTAGGTGTCAACTTTCAGGACATTTATTTATATTTCTGCTTGTCTGAGTGGTAGGACGTTCCAGGGATAGCCCTTGCCTGGGTTGGGTCCTTTTTGGGGAAAGAGAGCACTGGAGACTTAGGGTGCTTTTTAAAGAATTTCTTTTATTTACAAATATACAGGTACAACACAGGCGGAGGCACAGAGGCACTCCTACAGGGCTGCACATCAGATCTACTACCCCAAGATCTTTCTCCTCAGAGAGAAAGATCTTGCACCCCTTGATATTCAACCAACTAAAAGCAGAATTTGTCTGCTTCTGTCTCTGATTTTCCATCATCTTCAAAAATGACCTTTAGTTTGTCTTACACACACCTGTCCGCTCCATTTGGCTGAGAGCTGGGATTACCTCTTCTGGTCCCTGATGGCTGCTTCGATAGAGGACCACTGAGAGGATATTCAACTATCATTAAGAAACATTGCTATACCTCTTATCATGTAGGATAGACTCAGCCACAGAGATCAGAACCCAAGGACTTATATCCCATTTCTATCCAACCTGTCTGTCATGGAATTCTTCTGTCATGGAATTCAGAAACAGCAAAAGGTCTCCTGTCCAGGTGCTGAACATAGCACATGCCAGCTTAGTTTCAGCAGGCTTGCTGGGTCTTATGCTTTCCAACAATACTCTGGGACCAACTATACTTAAATAAAGGAATATGTGTGTGCATGCACATGACTGCATGAAAGTGCACACATGCACTGTTTTTAAACATTCATTCCTTATGATCTGGCCCACACAGGACAGATTCCGGGACAGTTATCTAAAACCTTTCAGCTGTATCAGTTGCTATAACCCAGATGGTCACCTTCCTATTCCTTAAAGGCCTATCTTAGTAGCATCCTGAGTTAATCAACCTATGGCCTGATCATATGCATGCATTCTAAAAAGTAAGATCCCCTGAGTACACTTGGAAGTAAGTTGCAGCCTTAGTTTGGTTTATACATGAGACCAGTGTTTTAAATGTAATGTTGATGCCAGTAAGCAAGCATTCCAGATTTGTGCATTTCTCTGTTGATTTGGAATCAGTACCTTCTGACACCAGAATGCTGAAACCTAGACTGTTTTGTTCTATAGCTGGCTCAGGAACAAGAGCACCATCTTAATCGTTGTGTTCAGAAGTCATTTTGAAAGTGGGCCAAAAGTGGTTTCAGATTTTTTACTTAAGACTTGCAGAACTATATATTGCATTTAGTTCTGTGATGGTTTTAAAGAACTTTTCTTTTACCAATTCAGCTGCTGGGGCTGATTTTTCAAGGGATGGGATGGCACAGGGAAGATCACAGCCATCCAAAGCCATTTTTCCACTGAAAAATGTTGCCCGTAAATCACATTTACTCAGTGAAGGGAAACTTACTGGTACTTGTATTTGTCCCCAGTAGGGGTAAAAGTTGCTCAGGGGTGGCATTTTCCAGCTTGAAAAGGACAGGTGAGAAAAGGGTTAAAAGCCTCCCCACCACAACCATTCTCTCCCTCAAAAAAGCAGTCCTGGAATCTACATTGGGGGGGGGGAGGAGAAGAACATCTGTCATGTGAAATAATCACATAACTAAGTGTAATGTATAGTTCATGTTTGCTGTACTTAACTTCGAAGTCAAATGACAATCTGTATTTTGAGGACGACATTGCTTCCTCTTCTGAGCTACTGCTGCCAAAAGGTAAATCCAGCAATGGCAGTTTAGGATGGTTTTTGTAGAATTCAACTGAGTAACTAGACAAGATGTGACTAGATCTTCCCGGTATTCTTTTGTAAAACTAAGCTGCAGACACACGCAATCCCAATGCAGACTAAGGCCATGTGGAGATGGAAGAGTAGCTTTAATCCTTCTAAAGTGCAGGCTCATTTATCCAAACCACCGTCTCCATACTGGTATTAGTCTTTGAAGGAAGAAAAAAATGCACAATGAGCACTCCTTACTTCTTTCTCTGTCAAGACTAACAGCAGTGTGGGACTGGCAGATTTAATAACATGAAATCATGCAAGGATGGAAGGACGAACCCCCCTTCCCCTAATGCCAAGGCCCTAGGATCAGGACCATGAAGGTGATTGAGTTGGAAAAGGCTCTGGACCAATTCAGTAATAGATCTTCATTCCAGCATCTCCTCTAGCTTAACCATAGAGCTGCTAGCCAATATGCATTTACTTAGGAGTAAGCCCCATTGAAGTCAGCAGGGGTGAGTAAAACATGCATTGGGTTGGGCTGCATACTCATCCCCTCTTTGATATTTTAAAAGGCTTTGTGGCTCAACCACAGACATTGTGTGTATTTCCAGGACAGTCCAATCCATTGTACATGTCTTTCACATATCTGAGGAGGCTTTGTTTCATCAGCAGGTGGGAATGCTAGAATGAACTCCTCCTCTTCCTCCTACAAGCAAGCCATCACTCCTTCCTCTACTCTTCCCAAATCACCTGGGTCAACCTTTGAGCGAAAAACCTATACCACCCGCCATGCAACATATGAAGGTATCATAGACCATGACAAGGGAATAGGAGTGGTAGGAATGTATTGACTAATTATCCCAAGTATCCTAACCTGTCAGTCTGCGGTTTGCCATCTATACTATATAGATCCCAGCCATTTGGGACCCATTTACTCTTTTAACATCCTGCTGTGTCCTGTAGTGAAAAAAAGAAAAGAAAATACTGCTGTGTCTATTCATGACCTTTTCAGAATGCTCATACATATCATTGCAGAGGTTTATTTACTTCTTTTACAGCCTTTATAGTCCCGCTTTCTCACTCCACACAGAAACAGCAATAGTTATCACATTTTTTATCAGCAATTTTCCTCACCTCTTCCAAATTAATCCACTGATGTTCTGAATACAACCTCCAGGAGCTGTTTTTAAATTCAAAACAAAGCATTTGACGCTTTATATTACATATTCAAGACATGACATGATATACAATATAATGGACTGCCTTGCATTATAAAATAGTAGGTAGTAAAGTTTTTAAAAGAGAGAACTGGTGTAGGGCCTGCCTACACAATACATTGTTTCTGGATCTGTCCCCATCTCTAGCCAGAGCACTGTCAAGATGGTGCTTAGAGAGTTGAGTTTCCGGGAGAAAATGTATGTGAAATAGTTTGAACAGTTGAAAGTCCAGTAGAAATGCTAACTATGAAATGTCTCTTTTTCCATAGGGAGCTCCAGTGCAAATTCATCTCCAGAGTTTCCAAGAAAAGATTTGGGTACGTTTTTCTATTATTAATACTGTGAAGGCCAACTTGAGGTCACATGCATATCAATGCCTTATGGTTAAAATTCTATGTTTGAAAAATTACCATATCTTTGACTGGAATAAATTATGCAAACTAGATAGATGTGCTTAATTGTCATTTTTAGTTTCATTGCAAAGCCTTTTATTGCAATCAATTAAATTTATGTAATAATTGCAACTGTAGTGCTGTCTTTTTTTCAGCTTTCTAAGATAAATGCCAAACAATGGCATTTAACATTTATTTTGTTTTTACAGGTTCCTCTGCTACCAGAGGGCGAAGCCAAACCCGAGGTAAGCTATAATTTCTCTATGTTTCTAAATAAATATGACTATGCTACAATTTTAAGATACAAGGTAGATGTGCTCAAGGGGATGGAATTTTTGAGCTTTTATGTACTCTAGTATGCATAGATTATATCTCATTTTTTTTAAAAAAGATTCTTGCTCACACAATCACATAAAAATATTGCTTGCCTTAATATAATCAATACACGTATCATGGAGTGTACTGTCAGTCTTTAAGAAAAAAAAGACATGGGTTGAGAAACATAATAAATGTCATGTATGCCAAAGCCAAGATTAATTTTAGACAAATTTCCTAATAAAAACCAGAATGCAGTGCAGGGTGAACAATCAGAACAGGATGCAGAGACTGGTGTAAGAGATGAAGAAGCAGAAATATGAACAGCAACAGCAATGGAAATTTGGAGGTCTGGAGGCTCACGTACAGGACCTTGAGTTACCAATACATCACTCACTTCACAATGAACCATTTCTTTCCCTTTGTCCTCCACAGAGAGTGAAATCCGAGTGAGGCTGCAGAGTGCTTCTCCATCAACCAGGTGTAAGTGTTACATCTGTTTTTCTGGGTCTGAACAAAGGTAGCTGGATCTCCTCTTGATCAATAATCCATGAGTTTCAATAGTGACCTCTTCCTTTGGACCATTTGCTAGTCTTCTTATTTTTCCATGATGTCATAACATATTTTCCTATGCTCTGGGTTGGTAACTGAAGGGTCACAAAAATATATATGGATAGGGAAGTAAGGGTCACCCAGTCTGACAGTTTAAAAAAAGTTTCTCCCCTACCTATAAACATTTAGCCTTTCCTTTGTATAAGGAGCTAAGTGTAGCATACATGGTTCTCCATTCTTTTATCACCATTAACAAACCTGTGAGATATGTTAATCTAAGGGGGATTGTTAGACACAAGGTCATCATGTGAGACCTGCTCTTGGTCCTACACTCAAACCATTCTATCATGGTGGCTGCTATCATGACCCCCCAGCTGCTTTTTGCAGTTAAATTATGCACTTGGGAAGCTGAACGCCGATCCTCAATATAACATGTGTGGTCTTGGAGAACAAGGAGTCCTGCTGTTAAAATATGGCTGCCAAAACATAAACCATCCATCAGTTATTTTTAAGATGCAAAGCAATAAAGCATTCCAATCCCTACTGAGATCATCATGTTTTTCAGATGTGAGATAATTCATTGAGATTTCAGGTGCGGTTTGTGTTTGGAAAACAATGTTTGCAGTTATGCCTCAATATCCCTTGTCTCTTTCAGGGACCGAACTGGATGACGTTAAACGACTTCTTCGGGGAAGTCGCTCAGCAAGCGCCAGCCCAACACGGTCCTCATCAAGCACACTCCCAATACCCAAGAAAGCTGTCGTGGAAACCAAAATGGTTACAGAGAGCTCCCAGTCAGGTACATCGTTGTTAGACTGTGAAATAAAGACCAATGAAATACCGAAGTATTCAAAGGATCATTCTATACTGTTTGTGTCCAATCACAGAACAATGTAGTGACTAGTGAGAATACCAGAGGCCACAAAAGCAACCCTAAGAACTAGACTACATGTAATTCTGGGGTCCATGTCCTGACCCTAAAAATAACTGCTGAGGGGGCCTCCGTATGGATAAGGTCATGGCACTGGGAAGAAGGGAGGGGGGGTTAGCTCTCTCCCTGTTCCGTTTCCTTGACTGGAAATGCCCCACTCAGGCTGCTTTAAACCCCAGCAGAGAAAAGGACTGGTTGCTTTTATGGCTGCCTTTTCCCCCTATAGTGCTTAAAGAAATCTGGGTAGGGAGGCGTTTCAGATTGGAAAATGGTGAATGGAGAGATTTAAATCCCTCTGATACATATCACCACTTCTCCCAGCTACTTATTGAAGTTAAATTATACGTTTGGTAACCTGAATACTGATCCTCAATATCACATATAGCTTGATCTTTTATTTTTAGGCTGTAATAGTACAAAATAGGTGAAAGCTGGTTACAGGATTGCCCAAAGGCATTCCCCAACTGGAGCAAAGCACAGCACTTTAAAGTCTTTACTTTACATGGAACTGGTGACACCATGATAAGCCTTTTTACATTGGCTTCTTCAGGAACAGATCTAGGCAAAAGCTATTTTTTGCAGTCCCAGTGAATTGTAGCCACTTTTTAATAATTTTGCAGTGTTGGCACAGCCTTGGCTTATTGTCCTCTGTCCTCTGCACTGGAGCTATCTTCCTGGTTTCAGCTTTACAATTTTTTCCCCTGCAACATACTCTACTGACTCAAATGGGCAGATTTCTTACACCCTTAGAGACAAGAGTTGGAAACTGGAAACCAAGGGATGGTGATTGATAGATCAGGCGGTATAGAGTACTGTGGGATAAGGATGGACCCTAGTGGAGGGATCTACCATAGCAAGGGCAGATGGTGAGTTGGGAAAGAGCCTGTCCGTGCAGAGGGCACAAGGTAAAGAGCAAACAGCAAGATCTACACAAGTAGGAATTCTCCTGCTTCTTTAAGTCTGGCATGCAACTGCAGCAACTTCCCTACGATGCAAATCGAAACACCTGCAGGTGGCGCCAGTTATCCAGGCTTTCCCTTCCAGATCATCTCCCTTCCTATATGCTATGTGACAACTGGGCAACAAAAAGGGCTAGAGACTTATTCCTTTAAAAATTAAAAGGTGACCAGGCAGATTGGGTAAAGAGATCATTATAATACCGCAGTTGCAGATTTTTAAAAAGCACTCCAGTGGCGGGGGGGGACAGCATTCACTGGGGGGATGGGGGGGCTGAGGCAAGGAATATTGTACCAATTTGGGCAGAACTTTCACAAATGTGAACCTTCCTATCCACACAGTTTGCAAAGGCACGTTGACTATATTTCCAAAAAGATTATATTAAACCAAGATCACATCAAAGTAGGGAGAAGCTGGAAATGTTGAATAATAAGGGACAATATCATGTGGATTCCCCCAAAAAAACACCTGCTCCAGTTTGGATGACAGATTCTGTGTGGACTGTGGAGACAACCCCTAAAACATGTTTAGAATTCCAGAATTTCATATTTTACATTGTGCAGTTCATGTGAGAGGTGCAGAATACGTCATCTCTTCCAAGTATTAAATACTGTACAAATCTGATTTTGGACTTCCTTTATTACTTTCCCTCCAGTATCAGGAACATATGACACAACCATCTTGAATGCTGCCCTCCCACCATATATGTGGTCCTCCACCCTGCCTGCAGGGTCATCTCTTGGTGGCTACCACAACAACATGGCCCAGAGCTCATCGCTGATCAACACTGCAGCTCATTCTTCTGGATCAGGTACACATGAATGGCAGATGTTACACAAGATTGGGTATCGTTTTTCTTAGAATCATGGAATAACTAATTATATGATGGACACAAGAAGTCTTAAGGGCTTCAGAGGAAGAATGAAAATTAGAAGGTACAGCATCTAAATAAATTATATACATTTTACTTTTCTCTTCCAGCTGCCCCCAATTAGCTTCACGGTTTGCTTTTGTTTTCAGGGTCTAATAATTGCCCTCCCCCAAGCCAAATTATTTCTGTTATTCTTAAATTTGAAAATAGGAAGAAAAGTTGCCTTCTCTGGGAGTGTGCAACTCACTTTTCTTACTAAAGGCATCTAGATATGTTTTACTAAACCTACCCTTCCCTTTTAATAACTTCTAAAAGTTTGTTATTGTTATTAAACCATTCTACACCCACTTCAGTCCAGATTCATACCCAGATTTGGGATGGTAACAGCCTTGGTTACTCTGACTGATATTCTTCACAGGAGAATTACAACAGGGAGTATTTTGATTTTTCCTAGACATCTTGGCAGCTTTCAATAACATTGACTATGATATCCTTCTGGAGAAGTTGGCTGAACTGGGAGTAAGGAGGCACCATACATCAGTGATCCTTTTCCTACTTGGCTGGTCATTTCCAGAAGGTGGTTTGAAAAGTTGTGCTCAAACCTTTAGCATATCTGCTATGAGATTCTGCAGAGGTACCTCTTCTCCCCCATGTGGCTTAGTATCTACATGGGAGAGATTAACCAGGGGTTTGGTAAGAGGCACCACCAATATAAGACTCCACTATTCCCTAATAGCTGAATCGAGTGTGGGGTTGAGTCTGAGGAAGTCCTGAATAAATGCATGTAGAAGGCAATAAGGTGGATGAGGGCCACTAAACAGAGGTTCATGCCATACAATACAAGTGCTAGTGGTCAATGACAGAGCCACTTGAGGACTGAGGAGTCAGCCTGTCCTGGACTGGGTTGCAACCCCCTTGAAGAAGTTAGATAACATTTTGGGGGTGCTGCTGAATCCTGGTCTGCAGTTGGAAGCTCGTATCTCCCTGTAGCACCTGGCACCTTTGTAACCATGTGTGTTTGTAACTGCATTTGTCTGTACTGTGCTGAAGCTGTGTCTGTCAGATGTCTGTGTATATGTGCATTTGGGACTCAGGGATTACTGCTGTGTTTGCTGCTGTGTTTGTATGGCTGGCTGCACATCTCATGCTTGCATCTGGATGAGCAAGGCTGGTGTTGCCTGCTGCAGGACACGTGCTTCCCTGCACCTTCCCAGAGTGCCTCGGGACAAAGAAGACAAATGCCATTATTGCTCAGTTGGAAACTTGGCAGAACAACAGGCTTTCCCACCATTGCTGAACTGTGGGAAACCACGTAACCCGGCCTCCTATCTGGTTTTGGCATCACAAAGAAAACTTCCTTTATGGCCCATGGACCAGGCACATCTCTCTGCAAGTCAAAGGTTGCCAATGGAAACGACGGTTTCACACCTGGCCACATGGCTCTCTCTGAAGTTAGGGTAGAGCATCTGCATATTGCCCCCTTCCCCTCGATTAGGACGTCACAACTCTTTAACCTACAGCCGTAGTAAAGAGGACAGACCCTAAGGGTTTATTGGCCTTAAGCCAAGCCCAAAAACAAGCTTTTAAAAAGAGAAACACAGCCTTGTTTCTCTGGTTAACCCATCCCTCCTTACCTTGCAACTTAAGTGCTGCAGGTGATTCTTACTGCGTTCTCGGGAGTCGCGACCCGAGAACCCGCACTTGGCTTGGCTGGACCAGTCCGTGTGTTTTTAGAGTTCACCCGCTGATCCTTAAGCTGCCCCATTCCTTCTACGAGGAGATTTCTTCTCAGCTTGGACCTCAGATAAGTATAAGCGATATCCTGCTGTGTTATCTCCCTTGTCTGTTGAATTTCTTATTTTCCTTGCTGATTGCTTTCTATATACTATTGTAACTAAGGAACTTGTGTGATTCTGCATGTGCATCTGTTTTTCGTATGCTTGAAAACTGCTTAGTAAAAGGCAACATTTATTCATTAAACCTAGCGTGTTGTCTCACTTCCTGGGAAATAGGAGCGCTCGTTGGCCAATCTGACCTCTGTATACACGGGAAAATTACTCACGCCACACCCACTGTCGTACATAAGTCTGAGTTGGGCATTCGGAACCGTCCTTAGAGGAGGTCCGGTATCACCTTTTATCAGCTTTGGCTGACCTTCAGAAAGTATGATTTGTTCACAATATTCTGTGCTCTGATTACAACTAGTTGAACTGTCTTTAAAAGTGGTCCAGAAACTCCTGTTGGTTCAGAATGGCTCATGAAATACTACGTGTAAAATGGGACTGTTTTTGTGGAGAGGTCAATGAAAAAGGCTGTTTCCTGCCCCATTGCTGCTGTGTTTGTGGAGAGGTCAATGAAAAAGGCTGTTTCCTGCCCCATTGCTGCTGAAATGTTACTGTACTTTTCAACATAGTCAACAGTCTCTTCCTTTATTCTTCACATTCCTCTGCAGTGTTTGGAGTCCCAAACAATCTGGCTCCCAGCTCCCCCAATATGAATGCAGGCCTCGGTACTTCTTCAACAGGTGTGTTTTCTCCATCTTTCCTCTTTACCTTTTTCAAGAACCTTGGCGCATTACGAGAGTGCACTGGATAAGACTATTCTCCCTTCTCCAGTCCCAAGGGTTTCCAGCCTCCAGGTGGAAGCTGTAGATCTCCCAGAATTAGAACGTATCATGTCCAGGTGACAGAGATCTGTTTCCCTGGAGAAAATGGCTGCTTTGAAGGGTGGAGTCTATGGCATTGTACCCCTTTGAGGTCCTGCCCCTCTGCAAACCCCTCCATCCTCAGGCTCCACTCCCCAAATCTCCAGGTATTTCTCAATGCATAGTTGGCATTCCTCAGGGTCCCTCATGTCAGTGGCACCAGAGGTACACTGAGAGTAATCCAGTTTGCTTCAGTGGATTTACTCCATATTGGTGCCTCTTTAAACAGGGTTGCTTATGCTAGCTGGATGGTTATAGGCATCTGGTCATATCTGAGAGCGTAATTTAAACTGTATATCAAATGCACGATGAATCAGCCAGTTAGCTGGCTTCAGTACTGCAAAGGCTTTCAGTATCTGGAGATGGTGCCTAAGTGGAAGACACTGTGACTATCTTTGCTAGTTAAATAAATGTGAACCTCATCCTAGGACATTTTCTTTTTAGTGTTTGGTGTCCAAAACAATCTGGCTCCAAGCACATTTGCGGCCACCAACAGTGCAACTACAACCTCAACAGGTCAGTAACTACTATGATGAGCCTACAAGCAGGGATGAGATTTGTGTGTGTGTGAGAGTGAGAGAGAGAGAGAGAGAGAATTCCATCCACTCTCCCCCCTCTCCAGCTGGCCACTCACAGCTAAGCTGCCAACTTTCAGCACAGCCACCACCGGCTCCTGCTTCTCCTCCAATCCTCCCACACCTGCCTACTCACTTGCCTGCAGTGCTGCTGCTGGGGTGGAGTGCAGCTTCCACTTCTCCTCCCTAGCTAGCTAATGCAGTGGCAGAGGGGCAGTGCTAGATGGGGAGGAGCAGGCCTCGGTTCCTGCCAGAGCGCACTGGAGCGCCGCTCCGCCAGTCAGGAGCCCAGGGGGCGGGCACATAAGCCCCGCCCCCTGCTCCCACCAGACATCAGTTGGGACACGGTGGGTGGGGAGAAATGTTCCCCCATCTCCCTGAGGCCCGGGGTGGTGGCCTTGGACTCATAGGGGCAAATTCCACCTCTCGCGTGAGAGGTAATTCTGGCTCCCCCAGCTGTCCTTAGGGGCTCTTTTAAAAGTTATGGCAGCCGCTGCTGTTCTATTAAGATGTTAATATTGGCTTATATTTTTCCATAAAGTACCCCTTTTTTCCTTTTATGCCAGTTAATGAAAACAGTTAATAATTTCTCCTCAACCATCAGAACATGCTTTATATTGAAATATTATTATCATTATTAATTAGTACTTCTTCCTATGCTCCTCTACTTCCTCCTGGGGGAGGCAGCCATCTAAATCTCTCCCTTTGGCTTCCAGTAATTTGAAGAAGCAAATTGAAGAAGTGTTCTTCCCCCCTCCCCCCCCCTTTTTAGCAGCATATGGAGTAAAGAAAAATACTACCCAGAGCTCCGGTGTGACTAGTACTGGTGTTTCTACCTCAGCTACAACAGGTAAGTCTGTCTCTTGTTGCACAGGGTGTGGAAAGTGCTCCACATAATCAAGGGGACAGTAGCCTTTCTGCAATAGATAGCCATACTCATGTATGTTGCATGTATGAGGAGTTGTATCTCCTGACACTAATGATTTCACAGGCACTGTTGGGTAGGTGCTCCTGATCTCAGCCCACATTATTCCCAGCAGGAACAGTATTTGCTCTGCTAGCTGAGGGAAGTGTGTGTTAAGTGCTGTCAAGTCGCTTCCAACTTATGGCGACCCTATGAATTAATGTTCTCCAAAACGTCCTATTGTTAGTAGCCATTCTCAGGTCTTACAAACTGAGGGCTGTGGCTTCTTTTATTGAGTCAATCCATCTCATGTTGGGTCTTCCTCTTCTCCTGCCTCCTTCAACTTTTCATAGCATTATTGTGTTTTCCAGATACTCTTGTCTTCTCATAATGTAATCAAAGTACAGTAGTCTCAGTTTAGTGATTTTAGCTTTGAGGGAACATTCAGGCTTGATTTGGTCTAGGACCCACTTAGGCCCCCGGTCACATGGCAAAGTAGCCGCGGGAGAGGCACGGATGGTGGGTGGATTATCTGGGCACGATCACACCCCAACATCTGGGAAGTGGAGCGCACTCGTGGCTTACTGCTGACAATGCGAGTTAAAAAACTAGTACCTCCAAGGTACTAGTAAACGTTTGCCACAGGCTGCCTCCAGACCCCTGTGGTGTGATCGCGCCGGCGTGTGGCATTCCCCTCCGGTCCCTCGTTTACCCACCGGCGCCAAGGGAAGGACCGGTGGTGTGCCGCCAGCGAGTCTGATCGCGTAATCGTGGATCAAACCTGCGTGGGGCAATTAGCCACGCCTCCCCCCCCCCCACGATATCCGGCCCGTGTGCCTGGGGCCTTAGTTGTCTTTTTGGCGATCCACAGTATCCATAAAACTCTCCTCCAACACCATGTTTCAAAGGAATCCCCTTTCTTCCTGTCGGCTTTCTTCATTGTCCAACTTTCACACTCATACATAGTGATGGAGAATACTATGGCATGAATTATCTTGGTCACCAGCAACACATTCTTATACTTAAGGATCTTTTCTAGCACCTTCATGGCTGCCCTTCCCAGTTTCAATCTCCTGACTTCTTGGGCGCATTCTCCCTTTTGGTTGATGATGGAGCCAAGAAATAGAAACCCTTGAACAATTTCAGTTTCTTCATCATCAACCTTAAAGTTGTGTAATTCCCCAGTGGCCATTACTTGTGTCTTTTTGATGTTAAACTGTAATCCTGCTTTGGCACTTTCTGCTTTAATCTTCATCAGTAGTCATGGGGAAACATGTTTTACCAGGGACTGAGTGTTTGAAAAATGTAAAATCAATGCGACAGAGACTTTCCCTCCACAAAGTTAACACTTTTCTTCAATTAATCAAATTAATTTAATTGTTTTAATTTATTAAAGTTTCTTTTATAAACAAATATCAGATCATCATATTTTTGTACGAAGGTGTTCTTCACTGAGTGATCACATCTGCAATAATAACACAACTAAAATAATTAATTCTAAACTTGCATTTATAGAATAACTAGCCTGATACCCGTGCTTCGCTACGGTATTTAACTTCTGTAAATCCAGTTATAATACTGATTATATAAAGTTTGAAATGTAACATTTGTTGTAGGAATTCTAATGGAGAAGACTGTAGTGTAAAAAATGAAGTGAGACATACATACTTTCCCCCCCCCCCTACTGAAGGACCTCTCTGTAGACTGCTGGGGCGGGCTCCCTCATGGTTTTAAGCACCCTGCAACCACTGCTGCACCTGACAGACAACCTCCTGTTAGGTGTAGGAGGTGGGGGGATTATGTTTAAAGGCATCAGGGAGGCTGGGCCAGCAGCAGGGCTAAGGCAAACCTCTCCAGTGGCTGTAAGCATCCAACCTTCTCTTCTACACCTGACAGGCAGCTGCCTGTCCAATGTAGGAGGGGAGGGGGAAGGAGTATTAGAAGCCACTGTGGAGGCAGGGCTGGCAGGATCACTAAGGCATTACTGCTGGGGCGGGCTCCCTTGTGGCTTTAAGCACCCTGCAACTGCACCTGACAGCCTGTCATATGTAGGAGGGGGGAGCATGTTTGAAGCCATAGGGAGGCTGGGCCAGCAGCTTTGCTTCACCTCACAGGTGGTTGGCCACTCCTGATTTCCTCAACAGTCATTAGCTCTCTGTAGCCCCCTGTAACTGTTTTTTTTTTACCTCAGAACACTGAGCTCTGCAGCTGACAAATCAGAGAATGGGGGGTGCAAGGAGGCAGCTGCCTGGCAGCCACATAAGAATGAATGGGGGGAGCACATTTTATCCCTTTTGACCCCCTCAGGGGGTCGAGTTTCTAAAAATCGCTTCTTAGTGAGCATCTATGCCATGATAGGAGCGCTCTCCCCGAATTTGGTGTTTCTAGGTCCAGCGGTTTGGCCTGGGCATTGATTTTATGGTGAGGGGACTTTCTTTTATATATATATGGATTACTGTGTGGGATGGGGCTGGTTTAGCTGAGACCTGGTAGGATCTTGCTTATTAACTATCATAGGTATAGCATATTTTAATTTCCCATGTGCTACTTTACCATGCAGAATATAATTAAATTCTTGTTTTTCCCCAATTTATTTAAACTTTCCATTAAGGGCTTTGCCATTTAATACCCTGTATGCTAATTTAAATTAATTAAAAAAGAGAATGTTTCTGAAAATGATCATATGTTGTAAAAGGTTCACTTAAATGCATTGTTGCTGTCAGACATAGGCAGTACAATCCTACACAGAGTTAACCCTGCTAAGCCCAATTTATATCTTTAGAAATATGCTGATTTTTAATCATTAACATATTTTTACTTTAAAGCTATCCCCTGAAGAAAGTGCCTCTGGTGATCCTACCAGTATATTTTGCTGGCATCGGCATGTGTCACAAAATTGCAAGCAGTCTTTTGAGTCTTAGACCTTTCAAAGTAAAACCTGTCCCTTTTTTCTCTGACAAGCAGGCACTGGTGCAACTTGAAATCTGTTTTGCACCTAACATCGCCTAATCTAATCAGGAGTGCCTTCAGCCTGAAGCAGAGTTCTGGGGAACTCAAAATGCTTGCTCATTACAATGTGACCTTTTAGTTACTGCTCTACAGCTGCATTTGGATTTTGGCTGGAAGGACTTCCATCTGGCCCTTTCTGCACTCACAGCATACTGCACAGTATCCCAGCAGTCAAGCCTTTAAACTTGCCTTTGGATTTGTGTGTGCGCCACCCACATCAGTCTTACACCATCCGGTGTATTTATTCTGTAGCTACAATTTAAAAACCGCT